TCCTCTTACACCTCAGTGTCCTCTATATGGATGAGGATGAGGACTAACAGTACTACTTCCTGTGCTTACTGTGAGAATTAAATGCATTAAACACCCAGCGCCCAGTGCATAGTAAGCCCTCAATAAGTGCTACCGGTTATTGTCCCCTGATTCCCAGCCTCATGTTTCTCCCCATTCCGCCTCTGTTCTACAAAGTGTTCATTTCCTTTGGGGCCTTGTTCCTAACCTTGCTCCCTCTCCACAGAGCCTTTGTATATACTACCACCCAGACACTTTCTCTTGTCAGCTATTTACCATCTGCGTAGTCACCAGATCACAACTCCAGGGTAGCTTCCCTGTGGAGACCCTCCTGGAGGTCTCTGACCAGTGCTAGGCATCATCAGTACTGTATATCTGTTTGTTGCAGGGATCCTACTATTGTATATTTATGAGTCATGATAACAATCTCTCCTACATGACTATAGACTCTGCAAGCACAGGAACTGTTTATTTTTGTTACCTTTGTAACTGGCATCTAGCAAAGTGCCCAGCATATTACGAAGGTTCAATGAATATTTGGCAATGAATATAAAGAGAGCTGGAAGTGTGCCCAAGCCCTCGGGAGGTGTAATCAATGTTCCTGAGATCCGACTAGGCTTTCCTTCTTTGAGGGGTCCTAAGAAGTTCTCCCCTACACCCCAATCATTTCCTTGTCACCAGTGACAGTACCTGAAAATCCACCACTAGGGCCTACCGTGTGGAGAGGGTGTAATCTCTGAGACTGCAGCACATTACTTGGCTCACATACTAGCAACAGAGATGAGCTCCTCTCGTTCCTGTCCTCACTGCCCATGGCTGGTGCAGATGGCAGCCCTGAAGGCTATACTGAGCCAGATATGCTTATCTTCTCCATGATACAAATCTGCAAACAGAGGCTCAGAGAGAAGGGAAGGACCCAATGTCACTCAGCAAGCTGGTGGTAAAATAAAGCCTAGAAGCCATGTTGTTGACAACTAGCTCAGAGCTCTTGACTGCCCATGGCAGTTCTCTAGCTTGTTCTTTTAACTAGGGACATAAGACTAACATTGTCACCAAGGCACATAACTGTGTATGTCACACCCATGTTTACTCTTTAGAATATTTCTATTGATAAATTATTCATTTTAATTTTATGAGTTTTATTATATTTAACAATGAGTGCTTCACAGGAAAAGAAATCACAAAAATAAATTATTGAGTTTTTAATATTTATTGAGTGTTTATAAAAAAGCATCAACGTTCTCAACATGGTTTCTGGTGTACAAAGTCTAAAAAAGAACATCAGAAATAAATTCCCACATGAACTACAATGAAAATACCACTAGCACTGTACAAAAAAATAATCTTCAGTTATCACAACTAAGGCAGTCTGCACACATGACAACAGCATGTTCCATACACACACATCGCTTACACTGACGGCACACGTCTTTTGCTTTCCCGGCCTTTTTGCAGGACATACTTGACATCTTGCTGGTCTTATTGTTTTGTCAAGAAGTTCTTATTATATTATACAGTGTATAGTGAACAGGAACATAAAATATCTCTAAAATAAAGTATTAAATTCTTAATATATATTGTGAGTTTAGAATAGACACCAACATTTTCACACCAGCGATGTACTTGCTTAGATTACCTAAAAGATAACATCAGAAATAAAGTCCTATATGAACTACAATGAAAATACTGGTGGAACTCTACCACAGAAATAAACTTTGCTTCATCTGTCACACCCAAGGCAGTCTTCTCATATGACAACTGCATGTTCCATACAGAAGTATCACTTACACTGATAGCACACATGTTTTATTTTCCTGTACTTTCTTGTAGGGCACATTTGATATCTTATTTTCCTGTTGTCATAGTAGGTCTCTGTGATACTGCACCTGCCTGTTCACCTGTCAGCTCACCAGCGTGCTCCACAATTGTTTGGCATAGTTGCCTGGGCAGAAACATTTTATTTTTTCTCTGCTGTAAATGATCTCTTATGAGCTCCAGTCCCAATCCTCTAAGAAAATTTCTCTGTGTTGTTTTGCCCTTGCTATTTTCCTTGTAAGCTATAGAACTATTTATGCCACATGTTTAGGATCGAGTAAAACACAATCAGTGGCCAATGTGCTGTGTTTAAAGTGACACTGTAGTTGCTGCTTAACTCATCAACAACATCTACTCCATGTTTAGTCCTCTTGTTGAAAGCTTCCATCTCAAGCTTACATTTTGTCATGGTTTCCCTATCAATATTTCCATCCTGGTGACATGTTGACATCAGCAGTACCAGTTTGCTTTTCTTTACCATATGTGAGGCTATCTTGGTTACTTTTCTCTCACTGCTGAGACAAAATACTTGATGCCCAAAATTAAGGAAGGAAAGGTTTATTTAGCCCACAGTTTGTGGAGGTTTCAGTCTATACTCTGCTGGCTCCAAGGCAGGGTGGCACAAGGCAGAGGGCAACAGTTCATGGCAGTGGAAAACAGCAAAAGCAACAAGAGCAAAAAGGGAGGAGCACCAAATGCAAGCCTCTTTCCCTCCCTTATATTATATGCAGGCTCCCCAACCTAGGATGGGTGTAGCACTCACACCCATAATCCCTACTTGGGAAGAATAAGCCTGCTAGAAACCCGCCCGGTGACTGCAGGAGGCTTTGTGGGGACATCTAAACACAAACCCAAACACAGGCCAACATTATATCTTTCTAAAGTCCAAAGATTATATTACACAATTCTGTTTTGAAATTGCAACATTTCATTTGAAATTTCTGCTTTGTTCCTGTCCAGGTCCTGTGAATGTCAACTAGTGCTCTGTTAGCAAATGAAACATCAATGGGAAACCAGTAGGCCAACTGTCAAATGTCACATTCCACTTACTTTGGGAGATGGCAGCAAGAAATCTGTTCACAACATCATTCGGTTTATTACTATATGAATAAGGACCTGATGGCTGAGTTCCAGGATAAAAGTTTAAATTGAAAGAACAGTAAGTCTTTGCATCAACAAAGGTGTACATTTCTATGCCATATTTTGACCCATCACTTTTTCCATATGTCTTTTACATTCCTGCAATTATCATGAAAAATCTGTGTTAAGTACAGCAGATCTATGAGTGCTTTCAGCTCAGCTAGTGAGGTTTCATAATAAATACATCTTGAATATGCTATTAGTGCATAGAGAACATTTTACTTGCATTTCAGCTTTTGTGTATTTCACAGCATCTTGCATTTTTTTTTTTTTTTTTTGAGACAGGGTCTCACTATGCAGTTCAGGCTGGCCTTGAGCTAACTTTGTAGCCCAGGCTGGTGTCAAACTTGCAATGATCCTCCTGCCTCAGCCTCCACATGCCACCATACCCAGCTTGCATCTTGCATCTCACATCTCATCTGTTGCAATTTCCAACATTGAATGCCAGTGCTGGCATTCTGTCCTGTACATTTCACCCCTGCCAAGACCTTCACTATATTTTTGGACATAGTTTTAACATTGGATGGTTTCATTTGGTTGCCTGGTCATTTTGCAACATTTCAACTAGTCAAATACATACTCACACTGCTGTTTTCTTCATATCTGAATCAAGGAGGTCTGCATCCCCTGTATCTGTATCAGTTGATTGTTGCTCCATTTCACAGGAACTTTGTCACAGAAACTTTAGCTCACATGGCCATTTTCAAAGTCACCACCATCATCATCATCATCCACCTGCACCACCCTTCTGTTAAGAACGCATGCATTTTACCATAATGGACCATCTTCATCATCCCAGCACAAATAATCTGGATTCACTTTTGACCTCTTTCAACACTCCAAATCCGGTTTTTCATGAGCCATTGTACTGAATTGGGCTGCCTTGACCAGCAAAATTGAAAGAAAACTTTTAACAAATCCTGGAGTGATGTGGGTCTATTTGACCCTCTGTGATGCTCGGGTAAACATACAAAAAAACTGTTCCACAGAGCAAAAAGGTGGGACCAAATCCTGTTTTGATACTTTTACACAGGTTCACACCCTTTGCTTTTCATCATACCAAGTGGGAAACATACAGATTGCTTCCTGTATCCCTCAAGGAAAGATACTGAGATGCACAGCTGGCTACTGTAATGGTAAAGTACAAATTTACAATAGAAAAGTAAGGAATGGGTCCACTAGACCCAGCATTATGCTCATAAATATGAAGTCCCACTGTGGCAAGAGACAGAGGACACACCAGTAGGGGTGGTGATCCCCAAGAAGAGCCCATAGCTACAGCCCTACAGCAGATAGGTGAAGCAGGGGTCTGCCTCATGGAGGAGGAGGGGTAATTCAAAGATCAGGAAGCAGTGAGAGGCATCATAGAGTGAATAAACAGCACCCCTTCTGGGACTGGGGGTCAGGTGTGTTTGGAGAGCTGCCCCAGACTGCTTGCCAAGCTGAAGAGAAAAAGGAAAAAAGCAGAGCCACAGCCCAGAGGGAATGAGGGCACAGCAGCAGCAGGAGGAAGAGTTGGAAAGCCAGCTGCCTGCGCTCTGCTGTAGAAGACCCCAGACCTTGAGTGCTGCCCCTCCCTCCCACCATCCCCAGGCGCTCCTTCTCCCACTAATGAACAAGCCAGGCAGATTCACCCATGTTCCAGCTGGGAGTGTGGGATGCAGCCCGGGAGGAGGCAGACAGGGACAAGGCCAAGGTTAGCCCAAATAACGTGGTTTCAAGGACATGGGGTGGGTGCATGGGTTGGGGATTTGGAGGTCCTGACCTCTGCTCCTCATCAGCCTCTGTACCCCTCCAGGGCTTGCAGGGCGAGGCAGGCAGGGTCTGCTGGCAGCACCGGCGCTTTCCCACAGCCCCCTCTGGCTGCTCTGCTCTGCATCTGAAACCTGGCTCCCTTTCACCCACCTAGCTCAGTTCCACAGTGGGATTTATTGCTGGCTACCCCTCTGTCTGCCCCAGGGCAATAAATCAGAGCAGAGCAGAAAGGCAAACACGCCCTGCGTGTGGTATATAAGAGAAGGACTCAGAGAGCCACGAGGCCTCAGTGGACCTGGAGGGAACCTGAGACTGGGCAGAAGCATGGGCTGCAGGAACGGAATGCTGCACTGGGGACTCTTACTGATTCTCTGGGGATCCTGCACCTTCAGTCTCCCCACGGACACGGCTGCCTTCAGACGGTAACTTGAGCAGAGAAGGGGTAGCCGGGTGCAGGGATCCCTACTTTCCTAATACCCCCCACCCTGCTTTCAGATATGTGGGGTCATCTGTTCCTCAGGACCGGCCAGAGAGATATGGTCCTGTCCTGAGCAGTACTTGTCATTCTTAAAGCTTTGCCTTTTGATTCCTGCTAGGAAATTCAGAGATCGCCCCCTGCGAGCTCACAGGCTAGTTATTAAGAAGGCCATGGGACAGTTAACTCAACCAGGGAAACAGCATGTCAGAGCAGTAAAATGCAAGTCTTCAAGAGTTGCCTAGGCTTAAATTCTGCACCAGTAAGCAGAATGAGCTAGCTCTGGAACCACGGGCCAGTTAACCTCTCCGCGTCTCAGCATCCCCTTTTTAAAACAGGGATCATAGCAGAACCTACCTCCCAGGGCTGCTCTGAAGATTTAATGAGATAATGCAGGTGAAGCCATGGGGACGCACGGTAATACCCCAGCTGCTGTTAGTGCTAAAGGGTAGATCACTGCCTGTGTTCTCCCACAGGCTTCCAGGCAGCCCTGGGTAGGGACCAGAAAGCCCCGCTTTCCATTCAGGCCAGGCCCGTGGGACCAAAGACTCCGTAAGACTGAAGAACAGGGGAGAGTGGTGGGAGGGTGAAGAAGCCTCACAGGGAAAGTGGTCTCAGTTTGGAGACAGCACATGGAGCCTGCAGAAGCCTGAAGGATTAAAGTACTTGGCAGGGTTCAGCAGCCTGTAACTGCCCAACCTGTAAAAGGCTCAGGACTTCACAGAGTCTTACTGTGACTCACTCTAAATTGTACCTCTAACAAACTCAACATCCCGCTCTATAGATGAGGACCATGAGGCTCAAGGAGGTCACACGGATGGGGCTGAGGCCACACACACTTGGCCTTTGTTTCCAAAGCTTTTCTCCCTGCCCCAAGGCTCTCAGAGAGCAGCTGCTGGATGGGATGTGTGGGGCAAGAGCTAGGGGCTTCCCAGCAGCCCCACCCAGGACGAAGAGAGAGGAAGTAAGAACGTTCTCCCCTGTTCTCTTCCAAAAGAGAATGGAATCAGGCAAGATGTGGGGATGGAGTCAGGTTTTTGAAGCAGTCCTAAGAATTTTGCTACTTGCTTTGTACAGAGCATTGTGCCAGGCACTGTGGGAGATCTGGATGGATGAGTGCCCTTCTCAGGGTGCCACATCACCTGGTACACAGAAGGTACCACGCATACTGAGCCGTGGGCAGCCTGTTTATCCTGCAGTGACTCTGTGTGACTCCAGTGGGCCCATTTTTGTGGAGGAACTAATGGGACTCACAGGAGGCCCAGAGAGGTTAGGTCATGCTCTGAATCATACAGCAAGCAAGAAGATCCAAGCATTACCCCCATAACCATGCAGCTCCACCTCCTTGGGCTGAGTGGTGCCTGCTGCATGCACCCCAGGAGAAAACAGAGAAGGAGCCCAAGGAAGATGGAGAGAGGGAGCCCAGTGTGAGCTGAGTCCTTGGGCAAGTTCCCAGGTGGGGTGCATGTGGGGCCTTGCAGGATTAAAGAACTTGGTGGGTGGAAAGGAAGGGAAGAAGGAAGGTACTTTCTGAAAGAGGAATGACAACAAAGTAAAGGTCCAAGGCACAAGCTGTTTTTAGCAAACAGTAGGAAATGTACCTTCTTTGAGGTCAAACTGATGACCCTTCACTTTCCCATCTGTACAATGGGAGTAATAAAAGTGCCCACCTTGTGGGATGGCTGAGGATCAAATTGTGAAATACGCTGTGAACAGTAAACTGTGATAGGAATATAATACATTTCCACTACAGTATTCCACTGATGGATGTTGATGTTGCCTTCATGTTCATGGCCAAAATGAGAGGACGGTCAGTAGAGGGAAGGAAAGGAGAGACCAAGCCAGGAGGACGGAAATGGAGGGCATCTCCATGGGCCTGGGGAAGTCTGTGGCAGAATCAGGTTGCCTTGGCCCTGGGACCTGTGGCAGGTAGCTCAAGACACCTTTCTCCACGCTTCGGCGAAGGGCCGCATGTCATAGCCCAGGTTACTCAGGCTGCAGGTTTTGAGTCCCTCCATTATTTCTGAGCCTTTATTTCTTAGCTATGAACTAGCATAGCTAGTCTGCAGAGTCGGTGTGAGGTTTGTGAGGAGCTGGGGTATGTGACGGCCAGGTCCTCAGGGAGTGGCTTAACATGCTGTGAGGTCCTAGGTCTCTTTTTAATTCTGCCTGCCAAAGGTGACTGGAAAGGGAACGGCTCTCGGGCCCAAGACACATCCTTCTGAAGGCGAGGTGCACTGGCACTCAAGATGCTGCTGGGCCCTGTCACCCCCTGAGGTCCTAGAGCCCTGCAGGCAGCTATTGGCATCTGCTGCCATCTACAGGCCTGACATGGCACTGCCTCCCTGGTCCCCCATTGACGGGCCTACTCCCAGCCTTCGTCTCCTCAGAGAGAACATCTTTGCATGTTTCCTGTCTATCTCCCTGCCGGGGTTCCCTAAAAGCAGTGGTGATCTTTATCTTTACATCTCTGTCCAGTGTGCTAAGGAACAGAGTGAGTGTTAAACACATGACAGTGAGAGGGATGGAGGAGTGAAGGGAATGGAAGGATAGATGGATGGATGGATGGACAGATGGACAGATGGGTGGATAGAGAGATGATGGGTGGATGAACAAATAGCCTTGTCTAATCAAAATGAAAAGACAGAAGGAAGCTAGAGGTTTATTTAATACCAATCCAGGTGACTCAGAGGCTTATACACGCTCTTTAGAAACCCTAAGACAAAGTAATTCTCAGATGCTTGGGCTAAGGTTAGCAGTGGACACACTAAAAGCAGGGACCCGGGACTCTAGCATTATTACTGAGGAGTAGAAGCCTCTTCTGTTCTTTCTTTCCCTTCCCTGGGCTAGGATCTTCCTCAAGAAAATGCCCTCGATCCGGGACAGCCTGAAGGAACGAGGAGTGGACATGGCCAGGCTTAGTTCCAAGTGGGGCCAGTTCGCCAAGAGCCTGTCCTTCGACAACAGCACCTTCCCCGTGGTCCTCACCAATTACCTGGATGTGAGTGCCTGGCTCCGCCCCTCATTCCCGCCCCGTCCTCTTTCCTTCTTGGACCCAACGTCATCTTTGCTTCAAAGATGGCTGTGTTTGGCTGAGAGCCAAGGAGCACCTGAGTATCCTGCAAAACTCCTACTCTACACCAGGCAAGCCTGGGGCACAGACAGCAAGAGGGAGCCCAGGAAGAGTCGGCCTAGGCCGCAAGCCAGGCATCACTGGTGTGGGGAGAGGGGTGTGTATCCTCAAGTGGGATTCCTTGACATGGCCCAGCGTAGCCTGATGACCCTTGCACCAGTGGCTCTCGAGGGTTGGCACCTCCCTGCTTCATTTCACTGTTTTTATTTTGCTTTCTTGTCTTGCTAAGCCTCCCGGCTCCTAGGATTCTGGGAAACAGTGTTAAGTCCCAACCCAGTCCCTGCAGGACAACAGAAAACCCAGAGAGGCTGTAGGATCTGCCTAATCTCCCTGCCCAGAGGCAAGGGTGGAACTAGGCAAGAAGACCCCAAGACCCACGGCCCTTAGCACCCCCACCAGCTACTTCTTCCTCTTCACCCCGCAGACCCAGTACTATGGTGAGATTGGCATCGGCACTCCACCCCAGACCTTCAAAGTCATCTTTGACACAGGCTCAGCCAACCTCTGGGTGCCCTCCACCAAGTGCAGCCCTCTCTTCACAGCCTGTGGTGAGGCCCAAGCTCTGCGGTCCCTGTCCCTGAGCCCCTGCCCTGCCATGAGTGGGCAGTCCTGCCCCACCCCAGCTAACCACCCTCCTGCTCCCAGTGAGCTGCTTCCTCTATGCTTCTGCATCCCCTGACCCTGGAAGGAGAGAGGACAGCTCCCACCCCTCGACAAGGCCACCAAGGTGAAAGAGCCAGTCCAGGAGCAGCCTGGCCACCCAGAAAGCCATTTCCCAGACTCCCTAGGATGCACACAGGACCAGATTCGCAAACACATCCAGACCCTTACACTCTTCCATCCCCAGCCAACAGCGTCTTACTGAGCACTTAGCCTGTGCCCAGAATCTTCTCTGGCATCGTCAGTGTTGGCATTTACTTAAAAATGCTTGGTTTGAGACCAAAAAAAAGTCTCAGGAGTTTGAGCACAGAAGGGCCCCAAAACACAGCACAGTCCTTGCTTGCTGACGCACTTTCCAAGCCGACCTCAGGCCCATTCCATGCCTGCACCTCAGTCCCCACCACACCAGCCAACTCCAAAACTCACCCTGCCTTTGAGCCCTTGCCTGGGTCGCTCTTGCACAGATCTGAGTTTCCATCCCTCTGCCAGAGATTCACAGCCTCTACGACTCCTCAGAATCCTCCAGCTACATGGAGAACGGGACGGAATTCACCATCCGCTATGGATCAGGAAAGGTTAAAGGCTTCCTAAGCCAGGACGTGGTAACTGTAAGTGGGGCTGCCCCAGTTATCTGATCGCTGCCCTTCTGTCCCCAGGCCTCTGCTGGGCCTCCAGGGCCTGCACTGGAGGGAGAAACACTCCAGCCCACCTTGGAGCTGGGGCAGTGCGGAGCACTTGCTCCACGGCTTCTGGCTGGAGCTGCAGTGACAGTAGCCAAGGTGGAGCCACCCCGAACTCCTGGCTCCCCCAGGCTCCTGGCTCCTGCAGGGTGATGGGTGGAAACTTTCACTTCTAACTCACAAGTAGGCCCAGCCCAAGCCCCACAGCCTCCAGCCAAGGAGCCGACTGAGTCATCTAACTGGGATCTTAACCAGGCCCCGGACTAAAATCCATGCTCAGCATATTGTTAGCACTGTGGTCAGGCTTAGTTTTAGGGACGAGCACAGCTGAAGTTTGAGGTTAGTGTTAGGGTCAGGACCTGGCTCCCTTTTCATGTGTATCTGATCTCTCCCAGCCTGGAGCATCTCAGCCTCTGCCATGCCAGAGTTAGGGAAGGGGTGTAGGTGGGCCCACACCTGTCCTTGTCTGTGAAGTCAGGGGAAAGGATCAGAAAGGACGGACCTGGCCATGCTGGAGAAATCCTTAGCCTGTGATGGGGGCGGGAGCCAAAACCTAGTCCTGCCACCACGGAAGTGGGTTGGGAGGGTGTAGAGCTCTTGGCACACTGTCTATCACTGATTGGCAGGACCACCTTCTCAGCCTGCACCCTTGCTGGCCAACCCATTTCCTGAAGACCCTACAGCATAGATGTGTGCTGAGGCGGGGCTGTGTGGGCAGGGTTGGTGACATTATCTTACTCCACATTGCTGCACCCAGGAGCAAGTATGGCTCTGAAACTCCTCATGGAGAAGCCCAGCTCAAACCCCAGCCCAGGGGTGAGCAGCGGGCTCGGACTCCTCTGGTTCTTCTTCCCACAGGTGGGTGGAATCACAGTGACCCAGACATTCGGAGAGGTCACAGAACTGCCCCTGTTACCCTTCATGCTGGCCAAGTTTGATGGGGTTCTGGGCATGGGCTTCCCTGCACAGGCCGTCGGTGGGGTCACCCCCGTCTTTGACCACATCCTTTCCCAGAGGGTGCTGAAAGAAGACGTCTTCTCAGTCTACTACAGCAGGTGGGCCTGGAACTGCAGGGCCCAGGGTGAGGTGGGAAGGCAGGGAGTAGAAGAGTCTGGGCAGGATGTATGAGCTCCTGATCAGGTGCTAGTCAACCATCTGCAGCCACCTTAGCCAGGATGGAAGCTACTACTGACACTGAATCAACTAAATTTAAACATGCAGCTCCATAGTGGCACTATCCCCATTTCCAGAGCTCAGCAGCCAGAGTGGGTAGTGTCTCCCACATTGGATGGGGCAGATAGAACAGCTCTGTGTTTTAACGGAGAGCGCTGGAACAAGAGGAGAATGCAGAGTGGAGACGGGGCATTGCTGTGACCTGGAGACTTCCTTGGGAGGACGCAGAGATAGCCAGCTTCATTCCTCCTCTAGCACCTTGGTCTGTTCATTTGCTCAGTCACTGATCCAGGTCATACTAAGGGCCACACGTTGTGGCTGGTTGAGACGGGCAGAGCAGCGAACACAGTGAACAAAACAGTCCCTACCCTCAACCCTCAAAGAGCACGGTGCTGAAAAGCACAGGTGCCCTCAGTTCTGGGCTGAGGAAGGATATGACAAGAGATCACACAGGCAAAAAGATGTCAGTGACAGAGAGCAAGGCATTTGACTCTGCAGTCAGGGATGGTTTTTCTTGGGAAGAGCCCTTTTTAGAGGAAGTGGGGGCAAGGCCAGACGGCAAGCAGTTATGAAGTGGCAGCGGGTGTCAGAAAGTGGAGGTCCCAACATGTAGGCTGCCCTGTGAAATTCAACAGGCAAGGGATGTGGTGCGGGTGCAGGGTGCAATCCAGAGAGAAGCAGGGAAAGGGAGGTGGGTGTTTTTAACGCTAGAGGATGCTTGAGCAACGCTTGTGGGTGGAAGAAGAAGCCAATGGAAAGCAAGGAATTGAAAATATGGAGAGGAGATAAATGGGGGCACAGGAGCTGGGGCCAAGGGGTGGAGGGGACAAGGAGCCAGCAAACAGGAAGAAGGCAGGCTCTGCTGGGCAGAGGGCTTCTCCTTGGTCCAGGGCTGGGGCATCCAGGGAGACCCTAGTGTGCTGGGAGAGGGTGGAGAGAACTTGTGCCGCTGCACACGCACAGCACAGGATGTGTAAATGGCACTTGCACAAACACACGCACACCTACACACTCATGCTGAGGAGCACGTACACACGCCTCTGATGTGAATTCTAGAAAAGCCCATAACACACACATGCACACTCTGAAAACCAGTCCTAGGGAGGCCCTGAGCCGGGGAGGCACCATGCAACCTGCAGGAGGAAGGCAGGGGAATCGGTCTGTCTGGGCACCAGGAGCCCTCAAGGGCTGGATGACTTCTAGAAGTGACTTCACCTCTTGGCGACCCCATTGCCTGAAGGATGAAAAGACAGTGCCTGATACCAAACCTACCAGACAACACAGCTGGTGAAGCCCACCTGGACAGAAAGCTTCCTGTCTGCTGTCTGTCTCTCTGTCCGTCTGCCTCTGTCTCTGTCTGTCTTTCTGTCTCCGTCTCTCTCTGCGGAAGTCCAAGTAAGGAGATGACCATGACCCTCCAGTGCTTCTCGAACCTTGACCCAGAATCACACATGCCACCCACCCAAAACTCACCTCAGCAACCCTGGGCTCCCTAGATGCCTGCTCTCTGCCCCTCGTCCTGCCCTCTGCACACCCCACCCCTCCCTCTGTCGCCTCCCCTGGTCCCTCCCAAGCACCTGCTCAAGTGAGGGGGTGCGATTTGCATCCTGTTTGCATCTGCTTGCTATCCTTGTACTTTTTCTATAGACTCTCTGGAGATTATTCTTGGGTGCAGCTGGACCTCCCTGGACAAACCTCTGGCTGGTCTTGGGAGGGGCCTGAAAGGCGCCTGAAAGGGAGAAGCTGCACATTCTGTGTGCTTCCTAGTCACAGTTTCTAGCCTGCCCATGCACCCCACTTACATGTGCCCTGCCCAGCACCTCGCCCAACTCTCTCTTGTCACTGGTCTCAAGGTCCTAGAGCTTGCTGGCCTCTAAGAGCTGTTGATCTCTCCTTTAGGGATTCCCACCTGCTGGGGGGAGAGCTCCTGCTGGGGGGCAGTGACCCCCAACATTACCAAGGGAATTTCCACTACGTGAGCATCAGCAAGACTGGCTCCTGGCAGATCATGATGAAGGGGTCAGGAGTCCCCAACCCTCCCACTCTACCCTGCTGCCGCCACTGACGTGGGGTGGGCGGGGGTGGGGCTGGGGCAGGGTTATCATCCTTCCTTCTCCGAGCACAGATGCTTCTTAAGGCGCAGCCACCAGCTGCTCTCTGCCTGCTTTGTCCAGCGTTGCTGAGATTTGAGCGTTGGGGGCTAGGCTGCGACAGTGAAGTCACTCAGCCATGTGCTGAGGGTGGGGATAGCACCTTCTCCCCTCATCCGCTCTCTGCTCACTGCCTCCCCAACCTCCAGCGCACCCTTGATCACCAGCATGGCTCCCATCACCACCCTCGCTCAGGAAGGATATGCAGCCTGGGGGTATCTGTCAACCTTCTGTCCGTCTGTCTGTCTGTGACCTCCCCCAGGGTGTCTGTGGGCTCTGCCACCTTGCTGTGTGAGGAGGGCTGCATGGCAGTGGTGGACACCGGTGCCTCCTACATCTCGGGTCCCACCAGCTCCCTGAGGCTGATCATGGAGGCCCTAGGGGCCAAAGAGCAAAGCACAGATGAAGTAAGCTGCTAAGGGTGGGGCACTGGCAGTGGACAAAGCATCCCCTGGTCCAAGCCTCAAAATCACCCTGGGCAGCATTAGATCTCAAACAAGGCCACTGTAGGCCTTCTCCTGCTGACCTCTGACACTCCTAGCACATGTGGCTGGTTCCCCACGGAGGGAGGACAGCCTGGTGCCCAGCCCTCTCTCTAGCGGAGAGGCCAGGCCAGAAGCACAGGGCTCTCAACAGAGCTGCCTTTATCCCTCCCACAGTATGTCGTGAACTGTAACCAGGTGCCCACACTGCCTGACATCTCCTTCCACCTGGGAGACAGAGCCTACACGCTCACCAGTGCAGACTACGTGTTACAGGTGAGGCGCAGGGAGGAAGTGGGCAGGGGCCCCCGAAGGGAGGCCAGGCATAACGCGCAGACTGCAGGCTCACCTGTGGTTCTTAAATATCACTGCACGTGGCACCTTCTAAACATCCCAGTATGCAGGCAACATCCCCACCTGTGGCGTCAGAATCTCTAGGAGTGCCACCAGGAACCAGTGCTTCCAGAGGTCCCCTGGGGGACGCCAATGTGCAGCCATACTGCCAGCCACTGCAGTGGTCCTTCTCCCTGTTTCCCATCAAATGTTCCCAGATTGCTATGCTCCTATATTCTTATCCTCCTTTCAGGCTCAAGAGGCTTAGGGAACCTACCTAGGGTCAGAAACTAAAGCCAGACTGACAGCTGTCAAAGGCAGCACTGTGCCTGATGCATTGTGTCCTCAGCATCTGGCATGGCACCTGCACCCAGAGGGGTCAACCCATGCTGGGCTAAGATGGCCAAGATGTGATGGGTGGGGAGCAGGAGGGGATACTGCCGAAGACATCTTCTGGGGCAGGCCAGGAGGTGGGGAATGGTCATGTCCCAGGCAGTGGTGCAACCCTCCCGTCTCCTGCCAGGCCCCGTACAGTGATGATGACATGTGCACCCTGGCCTTCCAAGGCCTGGACATCCCACCGCCCACCGGACCCCTGTGGGCCCTGGGAGCCAGCTTCATCCGAAAGTTCTACACAGAGTTTGATCGGCATAACAATCGCATTGGCTTTGCCTTGGCCCACTGAGCCTTCTGCCACCAGGGTGAGCCTTGCCTTCAACCTGAGCCCAGAGCTGCAGCTCTCTCTGGGGTCCCCTCTGCCTGGGCTCATGCCCTTGTGCAGGGACACTAAACGTGGAGTCCCTGCCCACTGTGCCAGCCTTTCCTTGCTTTGAGGAGAAACAGAATAAAGACTTCATATTTACCATTGCCTCTGGGCTTGACTAAGTGTGGAAAAGAGGAGCAGCCCTACGATCATGTGTATATAGGGATGTAACAAAGACTGACACATTCACCCCTTTGCCCAGGTTCCTGCATGCATGGACAATGTCATCTGTCTGATGTCAACATGGCTCTGGTGGAGTTTGTTTATATGGTCTTGGTTGGGAAGTTTATAGAGGAGCCACCCCTGTGTCCCTTCTGGAACCCTAGGGGCCAAGGCTAATGATGTGGTAATAGACCACGGGTCAGAAAGGTGCCCAGCTCACAGAAGCCAGCTCCGAGCCCAGGGCCTGCACTAGCCAGCCCTACCTCTCATGCCCTGCCAAACTCCCCTCAACCTGATTTTCCCTTTCTGCAGATACCCTGACCCATATGGCCTCACCCAGGCAGTCTAAGGCACCACCACCAAAAGTGTAGACCATCTGAGATGTAACCAGCACTCCCTCTTTACCCACGGGGAAACAGGCCCAGAGAAAGCATTTGCCCAGGATCACCCAGTAGAGATTCAAGTGAGGAAGAATCCTAAAAGGTAGTGAGGAATCAAGCCTAGGACCCAGCCTGCCTGGCTCAGGTCCTGGGGGGTCTTTCACCTTATTGTGTGCAGTGGTACTGTCACAGGTACAGAACATCATGCTACCTGGTACAGGGCCATGTGCATGGAGACAGAAACATACTCCACTATCCTCCACTTCCCGGGCTTGGGACTCAGACTGAAGTCTCTTCTCCCACTTCTCCCACTCTTACCCCTTGGACCATCTGCAGGGTACAGAGAGCTGGGGGGATGAGAAAGCAGCATCCTAGGGCTGGGAGCATTGCTCAGTGGTACAGAACTTGCCTAGCATGTAGGAGACGTGGGTTCAATTCTCAGAACCAAAAAGTGAGGAAGTAATAGCATCCACCTAAAGCCACTAACACTGTCCCCTCTCCATAGCAGCACCTCCCTCCTCTGACAAAAAAACAAGAACAAAAACATGGGGCACTGAGTGGGTCAACCAGGCCCTTGGTACCTGCAGGGTTGCAGCCTCCTGGGGTTGGGTGAGAGTCCAGGGCTTGCCAGAGGCAGTACTCCTGCAGCAGGAGCTATCTGCAGCATCCCTGTGCAGAGCTGAGAGCAAGAGCCTGGGCTTCAGGGCCCTGGACTCCTGCTGATTCTCCCTGTTCCCTCCTCCTGTGTGGCTCTATTTCCTCTGTGAGAAAGGAAGCGCTGGAGGCCGTGTCCTTTCCACATTTGCATCCTGGGGCTCTGTGACCTTGAACACACACACACCCACACACTGTCAGCTGCACTGTCCAATGCAGTACCCACCAAGGGCTCCTTACCTTCAAATTCAAATTAAAGTTACATACGATGTCACATTAGCTGCATTTCAAGTGCTGGACAACCCCACGTGGCTAGTGGCCACTGCGTCGGGCACCACAGACATTTCCATCATTCCACAAGTTTTGCAGGTAGAGCTGGGCAGAACAGCAATCACAAGGCCTTGCATTTGGTTGAGAAGTTCATGAAAATGCCAAAGGGACAACCTGGGGACACAGAAATGGGGTCCCTTTCTGTGGGCACATTTCAGGGAAGGACTTTGAGAGACGGTGACAGTAGTAATGTCTCTGAGGCAAGACAGTGAGTGACCGAGGCTTCACTATGGCAGAGGACGGGCAGCCAAGGCGGTTTGCTCAGGAGGTGACAGATGACCAGTGGAGAGGACAGCCCAGTTCCCAGAAGAGCTCTGCACTCGGTGGTCTGGCCTCATTCCAGGTCTCCTTCCCACAGCAACTCTGCCCTCTGGGACACCCTGCCACCCCCGTCTCTCGGAGTCCACCCCCCAGGCATCTGCCTGCCTCCACACTCCTTTGCTCAACAAAGCCCAGGCTCAAGAGCCCCTGCGGGCCTACCTGCCCCCACCACACGCGGTTTGCTCAAAGTCTAGGCCTAAAATGAGCCCAAACACTACGATGGCCCTGGAACGGCCAGCCAGGCACACCCACCCCAAAGCCATCACTCAATGGCTCCTCTCCATTGGAACGGGGAGGACAGGTGGAGCTTTGAGGTATAGGAGAGTTGTTCCTGCGGGACGGTTAGGGACTGAGGGCTGGAAACATGACCAAAAGGGGTGAGCCCAAACTGAGAAGAGCTGTACCACTCCTGGCCGAGGACAGCCCGGAAAGACCACCCCTGACCAGCTGCTGGGGAAGCAGCCCCAGCTGGGGCCCGGGGGCGGGGCTTGCGGAGGCCCCACCCCGGCGTCCCCGCCCTACTCCCCCGGGGGCGTCACCCCCGCCCCGAGCTCCAGGTAGCGGGGCCGCAGCTGTCCGCTATCTGCAGGCGGCGGCCCCGGCTCGGGCGGCCCGGGGGCGGGGCTTGCGCGGAGCGCTCGTCGGGCTCCCGGGCCAGGGGGCTGAGAGGAGCGGGCAGCCTCGGCGCCGGCAGGAAGAGACTGAGAGGCTGCGTGGAGTCGGACGTGGTGCTCGGGGTTTTCTCGAGGTACGACCGGGAGCCCGGCGCCTGGGCCCTCCTCTCCGGGGTTCCGCGCCCTGGCGGCTCGTGGTGCCCCCTGCCGGCCGGGCGGCGGCGGGAAGGGCTTCGGGAGGTTTGCGGAGTGGCGAGTCCGGGCGGAGGCTGTGCTCCCAGCTCCGCGCCTTTCTTCTGCCGCTCGGCCCCGGGCCCCGGGCGTCGGGCTCCGGGCGCTCAGGTCGGCTGCCGCGGGTCGCAGGATGTGGCCCCGGGCGGCTGTGCGGCGAGGCG